GACAAACGCCAGTTCAGACGGCTTTATTTGTCATTCTGCTTTTACCATTAGTAAAGCTGGAAGCATTTTTTCTTTTCACAACACCTTTTCTTTTCACTCGAGCTGAAGACTCGAGACCCTTTCTCAGCGGAGCTTGCTAGCCTGGCCAGAAGACATGACGCGTTTGTAAGCCAAGCTTAGGCCGTCAGCTTGCAACTAACATAGTCCTTCACACTTAAAATATGTAGCGCGGTCATAAATAAGTCAATGTTAGCAACACTCGGGTGCTCACGTTTCAGCAGGCACCATTCAGCGGTGACCTGCTAGCACGCTCAGCCCCGAGCCCCGCTGTCCGCGCGGACCAGAGCGCTACGCAAGCGCACGTAACCTTATTCTGGTGCATGTTCGACTCAGGATTATTGTCTCTTAAGGCACGCACTTTATGGTACATCCTCAAACGGCCTTAAGCAAGGAAACGCTGCTTTAAGTAAGACATTATTCTTGTGTGGCGGGTCAGTTCCCTGACTAATGAATTATAGAGTCCATCCCTCTCTCTGGCCCGATGAGCGCGTCATTACTTTTTACAAAACGGGAACAGTTTCACCCAATAGCGCAGCGGGCAGGAGATCCGGCCGCGTGCGGAAGAGCAAGGCGTCAGTCCCTGGTCAAACGGGAAACGCCCAGGGGGCCGGGCCGGCCGGGCCCGCAGGTTGCGGCTGAGCTGCGGCGGAGGAGAAAGGCGTCCGCCCGCTCCCTGTGAATCAGCCGCCTTGTTCTAGGGGGAGTTTTTACAAGTTTGCAAAGCTTTGGTGGATGAAGGCTCCAGTTTCACATGCAGGCTGCTGCAAGTTCACACATTTTCTTAACCTTTCTCAAAAAAAAAAAAAAAAGAGAGAGAGAAAGAAAAAGAAAAAAAAAACCCTGTTTGCAAGTCGATGCCGGTTTAAAAATGCGCTGTTTACCACTATCCCAACTTCATCTGAACTACTCCTGCAGCTTGAAGAACAACCAGCATTTTTCCACCATGATTTAAGAACAAATAATTAAAGTCATCCCAGATGGGCCTGTAAAAATTAAACTATATCAGCTAACTTTAAAGGATTTATCCTATTCTTTGTAATAATTCTGTCGGCCCTCCAAACTACTGCGGTTTGTCGGAGTTTCTCCTGCACAAGCTCTTGGCCGATGTGAGAATTTTAGAATATACTGTAGCGGCTTTGGGCACCTGCATTCTGTCATTGTTCACGGGTTTTCAGGTTTTTTTACGTTCTTCCTGGAGACTCCTCTAGCAGTTACAAGATGAGTTGAGGCACCATGAGATCTCAGTTCATTGCCTGGTTTTGCTACAAACTCTTAGGGTAAAGAGAGGCAGTTGTCTGTGCCTCGGTCTCATCACACATGGAAGGGGAGGCAGAGGGGCTTCATCAATACTTGAGGTCCTCGGAGAAACATCAGTCTGTTCTGGATAGTCTGGCACTATAATATAATTTCACTCATTGCAAGACCAAAAGTCAGTCATTTCCCTATGCAGTCATGTTCAAATCGTCGCTTTTATTCTTCACCGCAAGCACTTCTGCGTTAGTTAAGGATTGGAGCGACCCTGCATAATCGTTACACTGCAACACTAAGCATAAATTCATGAAATGCAATTGCAAAGAGAGATCCATACTACAAAGAAGTAACCTTAAGAGTCAAATCGTTTTCTTCAGAAAGTGGTTGAGGCAATCTAAGGAAAAAACAAAACAAAAACTCACAGCTCCCCAAAGATTTGTTAACTAAACAGTTGTCCATTAAAGAGACCAAATATTTCACAGCATTAGTCTTTGGATTAATGTTAAATCGATATGTACTAACGCAATAGGGCAATAGTTACCATGGTGAATAATTCTATATTTATTTTCAAGCAAGCCTTATTTCTAACATTTCCAGACATGGTTGCCACTTTCTGGTGACTAACCTCGTAAGGGTGTGTGTTTTTTTTTTTTTTTAAACTGTTTGGTACCAGAAATTGCAATTTTCTCCATGACAACTATAACAAGATCTCCACCGTGGTACAGGAGAGCAATGCTGGGCAGGGACACGGATGCACGCCAGTTTTAGCTGAGGGCTTGTTTACCTTTGAAAGTTAATACAGATTAATCTCGGGTATCACTCGAAGCACAACAGCTACGCCAAATTAATTCCTAGGCAGACGAGCCCTCGCAGCGACTTGGAACACGTTTTCCTTCGGAGGACCTCAGCCCCTTGGATGAGCATGTAATAACCTACCTCAGACCATCTTCCGTCTCGGAGAACGCAACCATGAAACTCCCACTTACATCTTGATTATTTACTGGTCTACCCTATCCCGTCTCCGACTCGCAGAGCCGGGCGGGCTCCTGCCCCTTCTCCGCACGGCCGCGCTCCCACCTTCC